CTTCATTGGCAGTCTTTTTTTGGGGGGGGGATTCTTATTTTTTTGGTGTTTTCCTGGCACTGTCATAGTTTGTGTGTGTGTGTGGGTGGGTGGGTGTGTAATGTCCCGCAGTTATCTACGCATTAATAATGATCTAGTAATATTAATAATATCTAGTAATTAGTAATATCTAGTAATAACATCGTCTTGGCCACTCACACCAGGTCACATGGGTGGCAGGCCACTCCCATCTGGTCACATGGGCAGCAAGCCACTCCCACAAAGGAGGCCACTCCCACAAAATTTTTGAAACTCACCCCTGAAACACACCTACACATGAAAAGAGAGAGAGGGGGAGAGGGAGAGGGAGAGGGAGAGGGAGAGAAACAATAGGTTGTGAAGAATGTAAAAAGATTATAGGAAGTAAGAATTGTTCCTACTCTGGCAAATGTCCATTGTCAGGTAGTAAATGGGCTACTCCGAACAATCTTAACAGATCTAAAGATGGATGGATGTTTAGGAGGCCCAATCATGAACAGAACTCAGAGCAGAGTCAAACTCTTTTGAAAAACCCTGGACTTTGTGAGGATGCTAAAAAAAGCTGCCAACAGGACAGAAAGGAGATTCCTGATACAGGCTTGCTTCCCAGTCATCAGCCTTCTCCAAAAATGCCCTTTAGCTTCCAGTATCTTCTGATCAACTTTTAACTTGTGAGAAAGCAGTTAGCTAGCACCAAGCTCTTTTTCCACTTTACTTGGGATAACACTTGCTACATTGATCATTCTGAATTAAGAACATTTGTGCTGTGGTTATTTAAGGTGATTGTTAGCAATAGCACTTAAATTTATATACCACTTCATAGTGCTTTACATCTTCTCAGTGTACAGAGTCAGCATATTGCCCCCAACAATCTGTTTCCTCATTTTACTGTCCTTGGAACAATGGAAGGCTAGTCAACCTTAAGCCTGTCAGAATCAAACTCCTGGCAATGAGTAATGAGTTAACCTGCAATACTGCATTCTAGCCACTATTCCACCACAGCACTATTGTAAGCACTATTCCTAACTGCTATTCCTAACTGCTTACAATTAATTGTTAGCTATCATTAATTGTTCCGATATAAATTATTCCTATATATACATTTATTGATGCAACTAAATGAAAAAATTAATAATTATGAATTGTGTCTTGCTGCTGTAAGTACTGCATATGGCACATGAGTAAGTACTGTGGAGAGCAAGGGTTGTATACAGGAGAGAAGAACAACCCTCCCTTTGAAATGTATGAGCTGGAATTGCCCATGAACAGCAGATATTAAGATTCAAGTACAAATTGACCATAATAAACTGGGGTTAACAAGATGATTTATATCTTGGTAGAGTTTTTACTGCAATGATACTAAGATTTCAATGGTGGCGTGCCTACTCTGCTTTGTGGGCTAATAATCTGAAGAATTTACTGTAGTTTGTACTGGAATTGACTAGTGCACAAAAGATGTAATTACTTGGTAAATTCAAATTAGTATCTGTGTAATTGTTGCTATTTCATATAGAGCTCCTAATAAAGATCCTAAACTAATGTTTGGCACTCATATCTAATTAACATTAATTTTCTTATAATTGTCACCCTTCAAACCCCCCTGCCCTTTTCATACTATAAACATTTGCTTTTGGTTAATGGTTTTGAATGCAGTTCTTACAAATGCTTCTTCATATTTCTCTGCAATTACAGTAATAATTGATTAAGCAGTTTAACTTTATCATTCAAAAAACCTTAAATTTCTACTCTCAGTGCTGAGTGGGACAAGATCTGTGTTCAAATGTCATGCCTGAAGTTGTACATTCAAATGAATATGTATGTTAAATAACACACAGTGTGTTAATTTCTGTCCACAAACCTTTTTGAGTCACAGAAATTGAACACAAATAATTCATTTTCCCTGAAACACATTTTTCAACAAATGTTTAAAAAAAGATACCAAATAAAGATTTTAATTATTGGAAAGCAGGTTGCCTTTATAAAAACATAAAGGTTTCCTTAAAGTATATCCTTTTTAAACAAACAAACCAAGTTCTCCCCCCGCTTCTGAACCTTTTGGCCAACCATCCCAAAGATGATACTTTTTAAAATTCCTCCCATTTTGTGATCAGCATCTGGAAATCTTCCTGCTGGTTGAGGAACTCCTACCTGGGATTATCTGAAGCAGCGAGAAGCTAAATGGAATTAAAATCCAATAAGCATCATTAATTATCTCACAAAATTCTAAATCTAAACCCTGGTTGATTTTGAAAATTGGGATTTGAGGTGAAGCACACATTGGAATAAAACTTACCTTGTTTCCTTCTGTGTAGCTTTCCTTAGAGCAGAGACATTTGTATGGACTGTGACTTGTGTCACAATGATCAGCATGGCCAAAGCAATTACATCTGTAAAACAATAAAGCTTTTGAGAAAAAAAAACTGACTAGGAATTCCAGAACTTGCAGTACCATTGTACCTGGAGGGCAACATATTGGATAAGGGTGATATATAATTTGAAAGGGCACCTTCCAGTTATTGTTTTTACATTGTCGTGAATGTAACTGTCTGCTTCTGTTAAAGATAACCATCTCAGAAAAGGCTCAATTAAGTGTAGGAACTATTTCATGTCTCTCTTGATTCAGCATTTATAAATGTCAAATATGTGCTGCTTTCAAAGGGAGTAAATTGACAGAACATCTTGCAGACCAACTATTAAGTGATCAAATGCACATTATGTGCTTTCATTATGTACTGGGTAGATGCAAAACCCTAATTATTAATTAGAGTTAACACCTGTGTTTTCAACATTAACCCTTCCATCTGTAATTCCACAACTTCTTAAACACATTATTTGCTTCAATTTATTTTCATAGTTTTTGATGAAACGTTCTCTTTTCAAGCTACATCTTAATGGAACAAGCCCTAGAACTAATAATAATTTTAATTATAGCTCTGTATTTTCCATTGGTGCAATTTCCAAATAAGGCATACAGCTGGAAATGATATAAACAAATATAACTCAACTAATATTACGAATGGCAATATATTTTATTTTATTTACTTACTGCAACAAATTGTAGTAGAGAAAAGCCTGACAGCTAAAGGTAAATATAGGCTTTAATCATATAATGAAAAATCCTTAAAATAGATTAAATTATGTTTAATTATGTATTTCAAGATAAACAGATAATTCAATCCTTGCTAATGTGAAACAAACAACAGTGTGATGTCTCCATCTCCATTGCTATCTAGATATATAAGTATATCATGGAACAAAACCTTCCAGTTTGAGTGAATGGGAAAAGCTATTGGAAAGGTCAATTATTATTGTTTACTTGCTAGCTATACATGGGCCTCTCTTCCACTGTTTGTGTTTATAATTGTACAGTCCTAATAAAATCGGCCATGCTTAAGTTCCAAATAAATTAACTTATATTTAACTGCGTCTTTCAATTAGATTTCAGTGAGATTTAAGAACAACTCATTATATGGATTACTTGTTGAGACTATTTTTCTATTGTCAATTTCCAAAAAATCCCACTAAAAACCTACACATATACAAACATTTCATTTATAGAACAAATTCACTTATTCGAAAGATAGCATCTTAGCTTTTCCAAAATTCAAAGTTAAAATAATTGAAATATTACAGTGAAATTATAATGAATATTGTATTCAAGTAATAATAGATACAATTTATTCCCTAAGGAAGTCTGGCTTGCTGTATTTTTCTCTCAAGCATAAATTCCCAAGTGATTTTTTTTTTTAAAAAAAAAAACACACATCTTTCACTGGAGACCAACCATTTCTTAATTTGCATTTTATTTACAGGGTGAAATTATGCC